CGTTGTTTCGCTTGAAGTCGTATTTTTCAAGAACGTAACTACGATGTTAAGCAAGGAGTAGCTGTAGTTCCCTATCTAAATGTTAAATGTTTTCAGGCATGTTCTTTTCTTCTCAATGGCAGGAAGATTTTTCCTAAAAGTGAAAAGGAGACTTGCTTTCCTACTTCTTCATCCTACTATAGTAACAGATGAATTCCGGGATACGAGGCAGTAGCAATTCAGAAACAGCAGAGGGTCTTTATTTCAAGAACAGTTCAAATTATTCATTCTATTCTGGTGTAATGGCACCATAATTACAGTATCTAAATATTGATATGTTGGATAAACTAGTAATATTTTTCAGAAGGAGTCAAAACCTCAGTTCTTGCTCAAATCCCACAGGGCTAAAAGCTTCCTTTACTTTTATACTGGGATAAACTTCCTTGAAACCAGTAGAATTACTTTTGATTTACACCAGTGTAAATGAGCAGAATTTGGCCTACTTACTTGGACTGACATTTGCCTGAGGAAGTGCCTTATGATTCTTTCAATGTATTTTACTAATGACAGATGTTGTTGAGAGTGCACTTCAGTGCTAATAAAGGGTGCAATTAAATGACTAGGAAGAATGGTAGGTACATGTGTTTCCCTGCCTGCCTTCCTCTTTGGTGGCCTAAAAGGCATTAATTTTGTGGCTGCTTTGATACTGTGAACTAAGCCCTGCCCTCAGAAACGCACACATACAACTCCCATTGAATTAACATGTCTCCTGTGGATCTCATGCTGCTATTTCCAAACCTTTTCCTATTCGTTGACTCCTCTGACAGCTCAGTGAGTGTAACATGACTCATCCTTTCCTCTTTTTTTTCTTTTCCCTTGACTAGACACCAACAGACACAATATAGCTTGAGACAAGGCAAAGAGGACCCTTACAATGAAAGATTCAATCATGTCTTCTCAAAAACAAAGCGGGGCCCTAGATAATGCCTGAAGCTAGCTGTTTGCTCCATAACTGAGGTATGTAGATACAAAGGAAACAGGCACGCATTCAGCTCTAGTGTATGCAGGTGCAACTTCTCTAAACTCAATGATCCCACACTAGCTTACGCCTGTATCTGACCCAAAGACAGGACGTTGAATAATAATATAACGAACAGAGTTTTTCCACTGACTGTAATTGGCTTTGGTCTGACCCAAAATGACCAACTGCAGGAGAGGTCCTGTAATTCATGTACTAATAGCTACCTTAGTCATTTGCTTGCTCTCTCTGAATTCCTTATCCATTGATATTTATCTTGTATTCGATATGCCAGCTCCCACAGTAAAATAACACTCTCACAAAAGTTGACAAATAAGTAACTCACCCACAACTTTCCTTACTGTCTATGCATCACATATAGGATAATAGCATATCTCTTCTATGGCAGTTTAACTTTATGTGGAAGGATCTTATCTGATGGTAAAATATGTTTGCTCTATTCATAAACCCATATGCGAATATTAAAAATGACACTAGGCCACGTGGTAGGAGATACAACTCTTTGGTTCTCTTGTACTCTGCCCTGGGCAATAATTTAAATCCTTTAAGTACAAATGTATACCAAGGAAACTGTAAATGGTGGAAATTCAATAATAACTCATAATAAGCCTTCTGATATACAAATATCTTATCTCTAAAGTAGGGACAGTGGCATTTTTATGGAGTTGACAGATACAGATGTGTGGGAAGATCTGTCTTAAGTGTTCTTGTGTAGCAATCTTGTTGGTGATCCTATGTCAGTAGAAAATATTCTAACCAGACACATATGGATGCAGCCCCTGAAGTAATACACTTCTCTCCCTAGAACTGGTCAGAAGACAACAAAGAAACCTGTCTTTCACTTGCAAATAGAAAGAAAAACTTACTTTTGTCCATGACAATGAAGCTGTAGTGCAAGTAGAAAAGCATCTAAATATCCAAACACTGTATTTTATGATAACAATGTATGGGTGGGTAGCCATAAAAGCTGCCCATATATGGCAAAATAAAAAATAAAAAAACAACCCTGTGTAGCTGTTGGGATATCTATTAGCCAAATGAATAGATCACAGTGCCATGAAATCTGTTTCCAATTAAAGACCTTGGATCAAATCCTGCTTGTTACAGTCAAGTGTTTCTGCTGATTTTAATACACACAACTTTTAGACATAATCTACAAACAAGTGTGAAAAAAATGCATGGCTCAAATACTCTTTTATTTATGTCACACCAAACTATAGGCCAAGGTTTCATTTAGATACATAGAGTTCAATGTAGTCTACAGTAAAGCAACAGATCCTTGTTCCTTTTTTAGTGTTAGTCCAGGGTCACTCTGCCTAACAGCCACACAGATCTTTTCTCTCCCAAAGTCTACTCTGCAGGCAATGGCAGATAACAGACGGCTGAATGACTGAATACTCTAGGTCATCCAAAAAATTAGATCAAAGAGTCCCTGTAGTGTATTGAAATGCAATTGCTTCCAAATCACATTGTGGTGTTCCAAGCTTGAAAGAATGGGTCACTGCTGTTTTATTGTAGAGAAGCTACTGCTAATGAAAGGAACAATGGAAAGATTAGTGCTGCCAACCATATAGAAGAAACACCACTTTCGGTTTAACGGCAGTGAACAAAGGGGATAGGAAAGAAGGGCAACCAAGTGACAAAAGTAGTTGGTGCAAAGAGGATATAGAGGCTATTCACAAGGTGCCCTTGATCACAGCAAAGTGTCCAGACTTAACATATGATTACTGAATTTGGAACACAATAAAAATAATGTGGTTGTCTGTACAGACAGACAATGGCATATTTTTAGAGCAGAAAAATGTAGTAAATTTCTGCACTGAGAATATTTTTGGGTCCCCCCCTTCCCTCAAACATTCATGTTATGTTGAAGTTTGTAAAAAGGCTGAAAAAAGAACAAGAAGAGTTTGTTTGCAGTTTTTTTTAATCTATAATTACAGAGTATGCATTAAAATGAATCTGACTGTCAACTTAAAATGTCTCTTAATTTGTAAGACAGCTTTAGGTAAGAGAGGGTAACAGCCTGAGACAGCTGGCATTGGAAAGCACTCTCCAAATTCTGCCACAATAAATTTGTTCAGTCAACTCTATTCGCTCACTTCTGTTCAGATCCTGCATCTCTCCTAAGCAGACAGACAGTTGCATTGATTTATACAGTGAGACAATGGTAAAAGACCAAAAAGACATAGGTATCCATGTTAGCTTGAAGTCAAGCAGAAGGCAAGGTAGATTCGCTCATTATAAACTGGCTTGTACTACACTTAGACTAATTTAGTTCCTCTAAAAAAAAAAAAAAAATCCTTTTCAGAGTAAGTTAAAATTAACAAACTCAACTTCTCTGTAGTTTAGATAAACTGAAGGCAAACTTGAACCCTGGTTCTCCAGAGAAAGAAACGAAGTGCTGAAATCCTATTTTACTTAGTCCTGGAAATATTAAAAAGAAAACCTACCAAAACAACTCTTAATATTCCAAAATATCATAGTGTGTATATATATAGTAGCTAGCTCAGAGGAACTACAAATATAATAATATAATAAGCATATCCAGTTTTTCAAACAAGTATAAAAAGTCAGCGGTCAGGAAAACAAGCTTCACAAACAGGAGACAACTCAAAACAAAGCCAAGATCTTTATAGCAGTCAATACTAAATATCCTTGTAGCAGTCAATAATATCATCATGTGAATAAAATATAAAACAATGAATGCTTCATTCCAAATCTCAGGACCTTCTCCAAAAGTTTTAGTCTCAACTAGATGGGGATACTCAGAAGAAGATGTTAAAACCTTCCAGTAGCTGTTACCAGCAGAGAAGATGACGTTCAATTTATAATCCAGACCATTTCAAGAAGCCTTCAACAATACCCTATGGCTCTTCATAGTGGACCAACCTCTCCTAGGAGTTCAATAGGAACCAGTGTGAAAAGTATTTCAAATGAAACAGTATTTTCCACAAACCCCTTCTTCTTCTGTCTGGCCATACAATAGTAGTAATCATATGTCCAAATATACTTCCAAATAAAAAAAAAAATGTGAAGCATCAACCAGTACCTGACCCGGGCTTGAGACCCGCAAAGAAACACATCCCCACATACTGTACCACCATGAATCTTATTGCTTCGATACACACTTCCCCCTGCATGCACACTAGACATTCTTCTAGCATGACTGCACAAAAAGCTGGGAATCTTTATCCAAGAGGCTTCCAGTGATTACTTAAATCTGTGAATGATCTTTCTGCATTGTACCAAGGAATCAATGAAAGCTTCCTTCAAAATAAGATACCATAGAATGTATTGTAGAAAAAAAAAGGCATTGCTCTTAGTAATGTGTCTTCATGAATTTGAACACCAGAAGTAAACAGCAAATATTGTAGGCATAATATTTGGTGCATTCATGAAAGAGTTGAAACAACTTGATTGCTTTCCCAGTGTAGGCTGGAAGGATCCTAAGGGACAGACACCTAATTCCCATCGAATTTCAATGAGAACTGGAACTTAATTCTTCTCTTAGACCCTGGACAATCATATACACCTTGTTTATTTTCTCATAAACTTAGGGATTGACCTTGCAAGCCTTCCTTACATGAGGAATCTTCTCTCTAAAGATTGGTAGGACTGCCCTTTAATTGCAGAACAAGCATTTACATTTTAAGAACAACTAGATACTGCATAATGCAAATATCATGACTGTCCTGAGGATGAATGAAATGTCCCATGGTTGAATTAATGTATATCTACCAACATTTTTTCCCCTCAAAATAGTGATCCATAGACTACTGGTGACATGACAAAGTGTATTGCCTATAATTGAGGCACTGTTGTTAATGGTGATGGCTGATGATGTTAGTTGACATTAAACATCATGTGTGCATGACATGCAAAAATATCCTAAATGAAACAAGAATCTGATCAATTCATCCAATTCATGCGCTTTATTTTTTATGAAAATCTAGCAATAAATTAGCTTTCAAGAAACACTTACCAAGCCTACGCATGTAGATATTGCTACCGAAGAGGTGCTATCGTTCCTTATAAATCCTTGATAGAAGCACTGGTCAACTTCACGTTCCTGAGAATCTGTGACTCCATCTTTCCCAAGGACCTGGACAATAAAGCTGTTGCTTAATATGGTAGAAGGTTTCAGTTCTAAGTGCAGTTCCTGTCCAAATGCTGAAAATCTGTAGTGCAAGGAACTTTTTGAACTCTGAGTCGATCTCTTTTTCCTAGTGCTGTGCAAAACATCATGCGAAATGTACGATCCACTGGAATCCACTTTGATGGGTGTCACAAATATGTAATCTGGAAAGGTAAAATATTTAACCATCAGCCTTTTTTAACCAGCAAAGAAAGTAGGTGTCATGTTCAACAGCCGACTTCCATTATGGCAAGAAGAGTTCTCTCATTTATGAATGACACTGAGGACCTACAGGCGAGGTGTACACCTGTACGTATGCAGAAATTTGTGCAAAGCAACTCGTTAGTCCCACCTAAGTCACAGACTTTAAAACAGGATTTGTTTCCTTTGCACCCCACTGAGAGAGACAGACTAACTAGAATAGCTGCAAACTTTCCCACAATCAATCTTGTAAAGACATTTGTCATCAAGGGCAAGTCTACAGATTTTTTTCACCCCTCCCCATACATTAATAGCTGTCGACCGGGGAGAATGTTTTTTTTTTCCCCTAAAACAAATATTTTAAGGGCTATATTGTTTTAACCATAACTGAGACCGTGTAGACAGTCCTGCCGCTTGTTCAAATGATTAAAGGATTAATTTATTAATTCCCCTCTTTGAGGTTGGCGTGATTAGAGAGGGTTTCCAGTTGTAATGGACCTGCAACAGAAAGAGCTTACGGTCAATCTAAGAACGTTTACTCAGCCTTACTAAATGAATGTCAAAGAGGTTTACTGTTTTGAATAAAACTCATGAATCTGTAAAGAAGATATTTCATGTGAAGAAAAATATGTTTAATTCAAAATATCTGGGGAGCTGAAAAGAATACAAGCCCCGATTCATCCAAGTGCTGAAGCATGTGCCTAACTCTAAGCATGTGCGTAGTTTCATTGATCCATCCATAGGGTGATGGGACTACTTATATAATTGAAGTTAGGTATGGACTTGCTGAATCAGGGCAGTGTGAAAGTAATAGCAGGGGCTTATATTAAAACCCGTATCTCTGTTAACCTGCTTCCTAGCTCTGCTTAGATTTTGCCCTTTATTCAGATCTGCAGATACAAATGCATGCAGCACTCTGACAGGAAAACAGTCTACTTTGCTTTTTTCCCCTTAAAAAGAGTAAATTTAAATGTAAGGAAAGATAAGACAAATATCCTTTTCATATAGTATCAGATGTTGCAAAACAAAAATAATAATAACCCCCTCCCCCCCGATTAATCTCCTTGTCTCGAATAGATTTGACTGGGCACCTACTATGCTGAAAATGTAGCCAGTGATAGGTTGCTTTTTGCTGTAGACAGTGGAAACAATACATCAAGGCCTTTCACTTTCTTCCAGTGGTGTTAATCAATGACAGCAGTTCAGGACGCTAAGCAGGCTGGTGGCCAAAAACACAAGCAGCTGCTGGAGGAAGGGAATCCCCCAGTGAACAGACACAGGGTAGAACAGGCTTTTCCCTTCCCAGCCCCCACTGCATACTGAACTGGGCTTGTTACCGCTCCCATCCAGAGCAACTACACAGGTATTGCTGCCTTCTGAATGGCACTGACTGCATAACGTGATACACTCAGGTCTTTTGCAACCTGGAAACCAAAATAAAACTACATATATATCTGGACTACATCTACCTATCTTTCTATAGCTATATTGCGAGAGATAGATATATTGCTATCTAGCTATATTGCGAGAGATAGATAGCAATCTAGCTATCTGTCTAGCTATATTGCAAGAGAGAGATATTGCTATCTAGCTATATTGCGAGAGATAGATATTGTGATGGATATTGCTATCTAGCTATATTGCGAGAGATAGATATTGTGATGGATATTGCTATCTAGCTATATTGCAATAGATATATAAATAGATATAGCTAGAGATATAGACAGATATAGCTATACAGATATAGCTAGAGATACATAGCAGCTATCTATCTATCTATCTATCTATATAGAGAGAGAGAGAGAGAGAGAGAAAGAGAGAGAGAGATACATATATATCTATCTATATTACTAGAGAGATAGAGATATAGCTAGAGATATAGCATCTATGCAGACACACATCTGTCTCTCTGTCTGTCTTTCATACTGTGACTTTCATACTGTCCTGATTCACAGCAAGTCCATCCTTAACTTCAGTTATAACAGCCTCATCACCCTATGGATAGATCAATGGCACATGCTTAGCAGTTTCTCTCTCTAGAGACCTAGATACTAGATACAGATCCCTGTCCTCACTTGCTGTACCGCTCCTTCGCTTGCATGTCTCCCCGGCGGGCTGACTTGTCCCTCGACTCTTTTTCATGAACGCACCCAATCTCTCCCTCCGCTCCGTCCCGGCGAGGACCCCACTGCCCCGGCGTTGCAATGCGAAGCCCACCCCGCTCCCTCCTTCACCCCGCGCCGGCCCCGCCGCGCACACGCACGCACACACACGCACCCGAGGCTGATGCCGCGAGGCTGCGGCTGTCCCCGCTCCCCGCGGCGGCGCCGCAGAGCTGCAGGGCGTGCAGGAGCG